TTGATGTTGCAAGCTAAGTTCTATTCTAATTGTTTCTTTTGCTTTTATCAGCTATAAAAATCTCTTCTAGCTTCTTGCTTTCATATTAATTACAATCTATAAAGATTTAAATGCAACATCAATTGTCATTTTCTGTCTCCTTGAATCCTGTTCTTTTTATTGTCCTTTTTCCTTAGTAATGTTTTTTTTTTTTAGTTTCTTTCACTCTATTGTCTTTCATCCTCAGTAACCCCCTCTTGTATTAGAGCTTTATCGCTTTGCTTGGGGGGTGAAATGGTTAAAAAAAAAAAAAGAAAAAAAAAAGTCAAATTGTTGCAGTTGTAATATATTTTACAGCATTTATTTATTAAATCAGTCATCATAAATTGATTTTAATGTAGCATATTTGCACAGGAATTGTATTTTATTTTTAGAATATGTATTTTATATTAAACTCTATTGAATTTTTTTTTGTTTTGTTTTTTTTTTGAAAACTTTCTACTTTAAAATTGCTGCAGAAAAATATTTAAAAAAATCTTTCTTTGTCTTGACCGCTGGTACATTATTTTTTTTTTTTTTTATCAGTTTTTTATCTTATTGCTGCTATTTTTTTTTAGTGTGATTTGTTGAGAATAAAACAACAAAGAAAAATTCCAACATGATTTCAAAACCTAAAGAAAAACTACCTTCCTTTATTTCACAATAAAGTGATTTTTGCAATTTTCTAAAATATTTTCAATTAAAACTTGAATGAAAGGTTCTGAAAAGAAAATGCTATTTTTGTGTAAATGTTCAGACTGGAAAAAATGCATGAAAAAGTTGGGTAGGGAGGGAAGACATATTTTAAAAAAGTCTAAAAGGGAATTCAGATTGAGTTGTAAAATGAGACAAAACAGCCTTTTTTTTCTTTTTCTTTTTTTTTTTTTAATGTTTTTTAAATCAGCTTTTCAATATTGACTTTCAAACTTCAAATGAATAGCAAATAAAAAAAAAATTAAATAAAATAAATAATAAATCTTTAAAAATACAAAAATTAAAATTACTTTAAAGCAATTTCTGATTCCTTTTGCAGAATCTGATTGTAAAAATTGGATTGTGTCTTGTGAATTTCGTTGCTAAATTATTTGAAGAAATCTTTTGGTTTGTGTATGCAAATGCATGTATAAGACCCAATAGTAAAAAAAAAAAAAAAAAATGTTATTAAAATGGCTGTTTCATAATATTTAAACATTGCCCACTCTATTCATCTGTGACTTAAACCATTTCAGCACTGGCCTTTTCTTTTTTCATACATTCTGCTGAATACATCCACTTCTAATTTTTCTTAGCCTACCATTAAATGACCAGAAACAGATAAAATATCAACAAGGACATTATTCAGCAAAATAAATATCCATTGTTTTTTTTTTTTTGTTGTTTTTTTTTTCTTGTCTCTTTTATTACCAAATGACAATAGAGGCGTTGACATGTTTTTAAGGCCATCCAGTTGAGTATATCTTGCCATGAGTAAAAAGTTTGTGTTTTGAAATTCTCTGTTGATAGAAACATTTTGTTTACATATGTATTATTAGTTGTGTAGAAATAAATCTAAATGTTTTGATTGGGTAATAAAAAAAAAAATACCTGCATCAAAACCTGCATCATTTTGGTTTGTAATTAATCAATGTTCAATATTCAATTCTGACACTTTTTATCAGTTTTTATTTGAACTTTTTATCAAACTTAATTATTTTAATTTCCAATCTTGTTAAATTCAATCTAAAAGAAAAACGGCTTTATTTTAGCAAATATCTTTAAACATTTTTTTTTTCTCATTTTTATTCTAATTTTTTAAAATGTTTTTCTGTTTAAATACCGGTTTCTACTTCTTTATTAGAATTATAAACATTTTAAATTTCTTTTTTAACCTGATGTTTATCTTGAAAGCAACAGTTCAAGGTTGCAACTAATTTTTTCTGTATTTTCTCAGTATTGTATCTCAGCCATACTTCCAACAACAGTAACAACTAAAAATGGATAGCACATGTAAGTAAACAGGAAACTAATGATATAATGAAAATGTTGAATTTTCATATGAACAAAATTTAAACAAAATTTTAGAAAGGAAACTCCTCCTAATACTAGAAAAAGCGATGTTAGTGGGCTTGAGAAGCCTCTTTTCCTGGCAAACCGTTTTAAGAAAAAGATTTTATAAATTTTAACAGACAATGTTAACTGTTTGGCTAATGAATGTAAAATGCTTCCTGTATGAAAATGGTTAATCTCATCATTAGCATTATGAAGGATTTCTAGCTGAACCCATATGATGAATATGAGAAATTCGTTAATTGATTTGTACTCAACAAAATTCACATTAATTATTTTTATCACATCCAGATAGCTTTTATATCAAGTTATTAAAACCTGATTTTTTTTTTATAGATATTTAACTACTTATACTAAAAGCCTGTTTTACAAGTCATCTACTTTAGTGTTTGATAATGAATTGATGTAGACGCGTTTTTTTTATTTTGTTTTAGAGTATGTAATTAGACTTTCTGTTCTGTCTAAAAACTGCTCATAATATTTTGAGTTTAGAAGTGGAGGAGAATTGATCTGATCATCCATTATAAAAATATTGATTTAAATGATGTAATATACAACAGTTTTTGTTAATATAAATCTATTTTGAAATGATCTTTGTGTCATAGCAAATTTTTCAATTGTTAAAATACTTTTCAGGATATGCTTTTTAAAAATCATATTTTGTACCATCTTAACCCAAAATAGGTTCCCATGTTTGAAAGGATTTTAATTCAATTTAAGAAAAGATTTTAAAATTTACATCACTTTAAAATATTCATCACAAAATGTGGGATTCAGGAAATTCATAGTTAAATAAATTCTGCTAAAATTGATTTCCAAACATTTAGTATAAATCCACTCAAATGAGTTCTTAAATTACCATATACTGATTTCATTAGTAAAAACTTGATAAATATACTTTAAAAAAAAATCTATCAAATTTAATGGTAAGAGTTTTAACCAGTGTTAAAAAAAAAAAAAATGTAAAACTCTAAAATGTCAGCAAAATAAGTAAACATTTAAATGTTTTTTTTTTGTCCCATCTCCTATCTTCATCCTTCCAATCAAAACCAAAATAAATAATAATCAATTTTTGAATTTTTCATTGATGCTAAAAATCATATATGGGGAATATATCAATTTTATGCTCTTTTTGTTTGTTTTCTTATCTGAACACATAAGCAATACACGTTTGATTCCAATTTATCCAACATCATTTTTATTAAAAATAAAAAAAATGCCATTATTATTGTAGCTACTCAGGCTCCACTTTTAACTCTTTGTAAAATGAATAATTAATAATTTCTTATGAAATAATTTTATTTTTAGTATTTTGTTTTACAAAATTTATTGTTTTGGACAATCTTAATTTTAAAATTTAAAAGAAAACACAATGACAATGTAAGACAGATCATGTGACATAACCGTCCACTATAATATTTGTTTTACTGTTATTAAAGAAAAAAATTCTGAAAATCTAAGACAATCTTTTTTTTCTTTTACTAACTGCTATATAATTGTTTTCAGAAATAAAAAAAAATTGAAAAAAGAAAAAAAAAAAATTCATGATATATCATTCAATTAACTTTATTTTTGGTCAATTTTCTCCATAGCAAATTCCCCAGAAGCAATAAAATGTTTAATGTTCTTTTACATAATCTAATAAGCTTCAGCTAAGTCCATAAAATATTTTCTCAAATGTAGTAACAGGTTTACTTTTTAAATTGACTGAAAGTATTTACTGTAAGATCTTTAAACAACATACCTCTTGAAATTTCTTCAATTAAGTTTTTTTCTTCTTTTTTAATTTGACAGAAATTTCAAGCTAAAATTTAATAATTAAAGGAATTTTTATAAAGCTAGAAGAGCAATATTTTTAATACTGGCGCCATCTTGTAATAAGTCACAACTTTTCAAAATATGAAACTATTATTAGATCAGCAATAATTTTTATGTTTGTCTTTTTTATTGTAATAAGGTATATGTAAAAAAATAAATAAATAATAATAATAAAAAGATTGCTTTTCTTTGGCTGCTAACAAATAATTCTTAATTTAAGAATAAAATTATTGTTATTAGCATCTAACTAAGTACAAATTGATCTTCTTGGGAGTTTTTCATTGCAAAGATCACAGTCAAACCATCAGAGATATGATCCTTTATTCGTTTTCTGGCTGTGATCAAAGTTTAGTATCTGTTTGTGCGCAACCGTTTTCTTTTTTATTTATTTAAAAATTCATTTGAACTGGAAGGAAATTTTGCTTTTGAGATTGTTACTTTAAAACCTTTCATAAAAAATAAATTTATTTTAACACTTCGCTCGTTTTTCATGTGGACCGAATCAGATCAAAGGGAGATAACTTGTATATATTTTTTCTCACTACCCAAAGAATTCGAAGCACTGACAGCAAGTTTTATTGCTAGAGCTAAAATTTATATTTTTCTTATTTTATGACCAACTGAAATGTTATGTTTTCTTTTTTCTTTTCTTTTTCTTTTTGTTGTTTCTGGCTTTGCGTCCTTGAAGCTTTATTGATAAGAATGTGGATGTCAAAAAAAATAAATAAATAAAACTAAAAGGCTTTGCTTTCTTTTGAAATGGTTGAATCTTCTTGAGAGCATCAATATGAAAAAAAAAAAATAATTTAACCTTGCAAATGTACGTGTTCAGCTGTGAATTTTTTGTTTTTTCCTGAGAGAAAATTTTGAAATTCTTGCTTAATTTTTTTTTCTTTAGCAGCCAAAAGTCAGTCTGCCTAAAATGGCTGAATATTTCTCTTGGTTTTGTAAAGTCAGAAAATGTTGTCATTATTGTTATTTGGAAGTGTTTTAATGCCAGGGTTTTTTTGTTTTTTTGTTTTTTTTCTACTGGCATTTTCACCTTTTCTTTTTTTACTCCATGCCTCCATTTTTTTTTTATCTCTCTTTTTTTTCTCCATGTATCTCTTCACCCTCAGCCATGTCATCTTTCTCTCTCACCCCTCCACGTCTCTCTCTCTCTCTCCCCCCTCCACTCTCTCTCTCTCACCCCCCTCCACGTCTCTCTCTCTCTCACCCCCTCCACGTCTCTCTCTCTCACAATAAAATAAAGGAAATGGTGTTAAGAAAAAAAGTTGCTAAAATAAAAATCATTTTGAAATTTGAAAGTACAATTCATATTGGATCAAAAAGATACAAGAAAAATATTCTTTTTTTTTTTTTTTTTTTTTTTTTTTTTTCCAAGTTATTCAGTGGTATGTATTTGTATTGAATTTTAATATTTTACTTTTTCTTTTGTTTACTGACCCAAACTTTCTAATTTATTCTCATTCAGGCTGAGCCAAATATTTGTCACTTAATGATTCTATCTTTAATGAAAATTTACAATCTTTGACCTGTGTTGGTAATAAGCGTTTATATATAACAAACTTTTATTACTTTTCTCTTGAAATTAAATATTATAAACAATAAAATACTCAACCTAGATTGAAAATATCCTTTTCATTTAATTTCAGATTTTAACATCAAATCTTAGGCATGGTTGATTAATCTTATGAATTTGTCAAACTGGAGAAAACAAATTTTGTGTGTGCGTTGTTGCATTGTCAATTAGTCATCATTGCAGTTAATATGGTAAATAAACTCTCAATAACCAGGAAATGAAAATCTGCAATTATTTTGTTTTTGTATATAAAGGTGTGTGTAAGTTGATTTCTTTTTTTTTTATGAAAAGATACATCTACAACCCCCCCAATCTTATTTTAAATGTTCTTAGAACTGGACATGTATCAAATATAGAGAAAGTTAATACATTTTAGTAAATTTCATAACTTACACTTGTAATTCCTTCTCTTCTAATTGTATTTTGAAAAGTTGGTTTAACTTAAGTAGTTCCAATTGTTGGCAAATTATTTGGTCTCTAACCACTTCACTTATCTCTTAAGGCAATTACTTATTGAAGATTTAGATAGATGAGCTGACATTTTTTTTTTTTTTTTTGGTGGGGGGCTGATTGATTATGACCTCAGTTCCTCAGAAATTGCACTACTCTTTAGGGGTACACGCACACACAATTTTGCTTAATTCAATTTATTTTTCTAAATTGGTGAATTTAATCCGAAACACAAAATAATGATAATAAAAAATTAAATCAATTTTTGTAAGAAAGACTGATTATATTTACCTTTTAATTTTATCCTCTACTTTATGTTGTGGTAATTAATATGTTCTTCCAATGCAACATCAGCCATGAAAACAGACTATATATATATATATATATATATATATATATATATATATATATATATATATAAGAAAGAACAGTAAGATATATAATCCAGTGTTCTTTAAGTATACAGGTACGAAAAAATGCCGTAAAATTTTTTGCCATTAATAAAAAAAAAAAAAAAAAAACAGACGACATGCATTTAACGGATGTCAGAATTTGTTGAAAAAATACACTCCTACCCTCCCTAAACTTAACCTCTTTTTAGAATGTAACTCATAATTGATACAACAATAGTTAATAAAAATGAACACACTACTGCCCCTGTCTGAATGATTGGATTTCTCTGTATCCTTGGAAACAGGAAATTATGAATTTATATGTACGTTTAAAACTCAGTAAATTTAAAAATAAATTATTCCAAAATTCGCTTGAAGATGAAACAGAACTAATGATTTCAATTTAATTATATAATTAAATTTGAAGTTTTTAGCCTGTTTTTGAAACATGGTTATTACTGTGTAGTAAAGAAACCATATTTTAAATCAGTTAATTTATAATAAATATACATATATAAACATATACATAACTGCTAAAATTGATTGAATGTAGATCATAAATATTTAGAGGCACTTGAAATTAGGATAACTGAAATGGCTTCTTTTTTTTTTTTTTTTTTTGCTTATACCCTCTTATTTGAACACTGGTTTTTAAAAAAAATCATCAGGTGACAAGTGATTTGAACTTGCTTGTTAATAAATTGAGAATTTCTTTAACTGATGAGGATGATTAATTATTTTGTAATATTTTTTAAGGCATCTGTTCAAAATGAGGCTGTGTCTTTCAAATACCTACCTGCCAGATTCAGAGAGAGGAAATAAAAAAAAAAAAAGTTTTCTCCTGATTCCATCCATTATTTATTTATTTATTTTTTGTCAGCTTTGTGACTTTTCTCCCATTTCTTCTTAATTCTTTTCTTGTGTATGTATGTGTGTGTATATATATATATATATATATATATATATATATATATATATATATATATATATATATCACATCCAGAAAGAGAAGTGGCAAATTTTTTAACGCCCACTCCCCTAAAAGTGTCAAAAGGTCGTTTTTTTTGGTTTTTTTTCTCTTGACATCATTATTACACTATACTCCCTCAAAAATTTTATACATTTTTTTTTTCTCAAATTGGAAACAAAGAATTAATCACTATTCAGTCGTTTATTATAAGAACAGATTTATATCTACATGACTATAATATACTGAAATACCTGTAGAAATTCCCCTGTCACATCATTAAATATTTGAGCTTAACAACTTTAACAAAATATTGCAATAACAATCATAAATATGAATGATGGTTGTTAAGAAGTAAGGGGGTACAAATGAAAAGATTTGAAATTGATAATTTTTCCATTTCACTGAAACAACCGATAAACACTTCTATCTTCCTTTTTTTCTTCGTTCATTCATTGTCTCACTGAAACCAAGTAGCACAATCAAAATAGAATAGTCCATTATTTATTAGGTATTGGTAGGGTGTAAAGTACACACTAAGAAACTACAATGCAATATTTATTATTTACCATAAGAAATAATGGGTAATTTGTTTTTAAGCCCCCCCACAAAACATGTAATAAAAATTTGCCAAATAGTTATATTTAGGTGTAAATTTACATGCTTAATTCTAAAATAACAAAGAAATTTTGATAAAATCTACCATTTTGAAGTTATCGACAATAGAATTTTTTTTTTTTATTGCGCATGCAATGAGTCCTTAGTTGCACAGCAATTCAATCAAGTAAGAAAAAGGCCATTAACAATGTAATCTTCCACACAAATCTGATCAGCAGCGAATGTATGCAAACAACACCAGTCTAAACTTTTATTGTCGATAACTCTTAAACAGTAGATTTTATCAAAATTTCTTTATTTTTAAGCATGTAAATTTACATGTACATATAACTATTCGGCAAATGTTTATTACATATTTAGCATGGGGCTTAAAAAGCAAATTACCTGAAATAACTATGAAAACAATTTTTTTTTATTTATGAAACAAAAGAGAACAAAAATATTTTTAGAAAAATGTAACAATGAATAACTAATTATAAATTTTTTTTTGGTGGGGGGGGGATGTATTTTTTGGACATTATAGATTTTCTTCTGGGATTATTTTATATCTTAAATTACTTTTTGTTTTCATTTTCCAAGGGGAGGGACTCATTTATACATTCATCAAATGGCAAATTATTTTTATTTAAATTTTTGTCAATTCTTGAGAGAGAAAAAAATGTATAAATACAGTTACATGTTTGAAATTCATTAAAATTTTAAAAAATAGGTTTTTACAACAATAAGAAATGCTGAGAGAGTTTACAGTAATAAGCAGTGTTAAGAGAAAAAATATCTTTATAACACATTTTTTTAATTTTTTTTTATACCTGTTTGTTAAATTTTGCTAGAAAATCTTTTTTTTTTTCTTTTCTGTTGGCACTGAACCAATTCCAAGAAATTCTCAACTGAAGTCTTAGAAATGTTTAAGTTCACTTCAATGTTTCTGTTAAAAAGAGGTTTCCTTTTTTTTTTTGCCTTCAAACTTCCATTATTGTTAGTTTTATTATTATCATCATCATCATTATCGCGCGCTTGTTTCTCTCTTCTCTCTGAAGTTCAATTCAGGCTGCATTTTTTTTTTTGTTTTTTAATAAAAACCAGAATATAAAAAAAATTTTGTTCATGTTTTTTCTATAAAACAATATCACAGATCTTTATCTCTCCCACCAGCAGCATGGCCCAGCGTTGCCCGTGCTTGATTCAAAAATCGTACAACTCATACAGCAATCGCTATCACTTGACTTAAAACATTTTTGCCCTTCCTTGCCTTTAAAGGAGTGCCCTTTGCTTTGCTGATGTTGCTACATGCCTTACTTCTTGCCTATCTCACACTGCAATTTTTTCTAAGCTCTATACTAAACATTAAATCTGTTACGAAAAAAGAACTAAACAAAATGAACACAAAACGATCAGCTTTAAAAAAGGACTTGTAACTGGAAAAACCGAATGAAAAAAAGAATGTTAACAACAAATACTTTTCACACTCAACCCAGTTCTGCGGAATCAGAATCAACGTTGAGTTTAAGCAAGCGAATGAGCCAATTGGAGTAAAGTGCCATGCAGATTTAAATTTTTCCCACTTGTGACGAATGCAGCTATCGATATATATTTTTTTTTAGCATGCTAGTTAACATTCGTGTCAGTCAGCTGTTGGCTCTCATGCTGGCCAATAGAATCTTCCTGCCTATTCATGGCAGCCAGCTATAGGCTCACACTCTGGCCAGTAGAAAATGGCCGCAAACTACATGAAAACTGCTGTAGAAGCATGAAAAAATCAATTATTTCCACTATCGATGGGAGTTGGGAAATGCAAAGTCAGTCTTGGCCTTCCCACTAAATTGAAGCATGTTGGTGCAAATCCGTCGAAAATTGCAGCCGTGCATTCGTTACACACACACACACACACATCCTGCCTTTTATAGATAGAGATTAAAAGTAATGAGATATTCCATTGTTATTGAATCAATCAACACCAATAAGTGAAAAATACCTCATCTTAAAAATAACAGAATATCTCATTAGTAAATAGGAGAGATCAGATTGCTAATTAATTGCTGTTATTTTGTTAGCTTTCTTTAGATATTTGTATTTTTAATGATAAAAAATTTATGGTGATTTTCTAAGCTAAAATTTTTCTGAGATTTGGCACAATGAGGATTGAATACTCACTACTCAAATGTAATTGTTCGAGTGAGACAAGCTTGCTAACTATTATACCCCACCAATGTGGCCAAATTCTTTGTGACAACAGAGATGTAGATTGATAAAAAATTTTAATTATTCATGCAGAAAATATAATCAATACAATTTGAAAAATTACTTGCTGTTAATTTTCTTTTGACAATATATGCCATGTTAATTTTATTTGGATATTTTTTTTTTTTTTTTAAAAATCAGTGTAACGGAATTCATTAGATAAAATAATGGATTGCGAATGCAGAGAAAAAGAATCAAGTTACATCTGCAAACTGCAATTGGCAGACAATATTGAAAAACTCTGATTGTAATTGTGACTCTTCTCATATTGTAGCCAAGCCATGTCTTCAGGTCCTATGTTGCTGATTAGGGGGCTCTTTATCCGATCTTCCCAGTTAGGAGCAATGGCAACATGCGAGTGAACATGACTGTTTTTGCCCTTGTCGGATAGAGATAATTACCGATGGGCAATACCTTGGACCAGCAAGTTGTTCATCCTCTCCTCAGTCATGATGGTCACAAGATACATCAATAGCACCAAAAAAAAAAAAAAAAAAAGAAAAAAGTGCTATTACAAAATTACTAATTTTTTCCAAAAAATTTCATTTTCAAGATTTTAATGGATGGATGTTCCAGTTTTTTTATTGCATAATACTGACTGATACTAAAATTGAAACAAATATTTTCAATACTTCTTTTTGCAAAGATTAAAGTTGTTAGATCAAAATTGTATCTCAATACCAACTGACAAATACATGAATTAACTAATGTAAACCTCAAACTTTAACATGTCCCAATACTAACTCCTAAATCTACCTTAAACTATTTGTATCCTAGCAAAATTGTTTGGTAGAAGGTTAAATGCATACCTGGTTATTTAACCAATCAATCATTTCATTTCAACGGGTCTTCTTCATTACAGTGATTATGCCCTATCTTTTTTTTTTTTATATTTAAAAAAAAAAAAAAAAAAAAAAAAAAATTACATCTGTTAATTAGATTTACTTAAAATAATGAATAATTTCCCCACCCCCATAAATTCATCACAGAAATTTTCATTTATGTAATAATGTTGCTTTATCGTCTTTATTTTATGAATATTAAAAAACATTTATTTACACATGTATTTTGGATAAGACATCTTTTCTTTTATTTATTTGTAAACTTAAATTTCTCAAAAAATAAATAAAATGTTATAAAACATTTGACTTTTAGAGAAAAATTTTTGTAACATACTAAGGGAATATATATCTTATAAAGTACAGTGCGCGTGTGTGTGTGTGTGTGTGTGTGTGTGTGTGTCCAAGCAACTCCTCTGCTCTCACTGGTCTGATTTCAGTGATTCATAGCTCATTCAAAAGCCCTAGAAAAGTTAGGTGCAGAAAACGATTTTCCTTGAGGTCAGATTCAAGTTGCCAGATTATGCATGGTTAAAAATATATATTATGGTATTATCGTTGCATTCATGGTTCAAGGGGAGTAACTCTTATTTTCCTTTTGTAGCCAAAATTGCACAGCACTACCAGACAGCATTTAAGCTAGCTCCTGTGGCAGACTCTTGGTTTGGCCATAATCACAATAGCTAGGGAGGAGTAGATGTGATAGGCAGCAATAAATTACAGAACTCAAAATTGATCACTGCGTTTAAGTATTGAATTAATGTTTAAGCTTACCTTTTAAAAGTTCAACAATAATTCTTGGTATAATTTGATTGCCACTGACTCAAGTCTTTAATTACGCCCCCCAAAAAAAAAAAACAACAACAAATAAGAAAAATGTGAAGTGCCCAATACACTAAGTAGAGCAGTTTATATATATATATATATATATATATAAAGCTTGGTATAATTTGATTGCCACTGACTCAAGTCTTTATATTCAAATGAGTATTTTTTTTTAAATTTTTTTTTTTAATAGTTCATTTGAATAATAAATACATTATTATATAATGGCAAAAAATTCATATTGCAATTCCTGTTTTTTTATTGTTCTCTCTGCTTAAGTGTTTTTGTTCTATTCCTGGGCACTCAATGACCCCCTGTGCCTCGTTTTGAGGTGAAAAAAAAAAAAAGCCAGGGGTACAAACAAGTTGCAATTAATTGAAGAGAAATAAGACAAAACTCAAATTGGGTGGAATATGAAGGCATTTATTAAAGCCCAAAAGTGAAATGGGGACAGCTACATTTGTGGTGGAGTTAACCTGCTTTTTCTGTTTCTAAAGATGATAAATGTTGAAGATGAAAAACGAAGCATTACAAAAATGTTGTGATTTCCATAATGACCTTAGGTCTGAATCACTAAACACTCTTCAGTTATGGCTGAAAACCTTTGTGTGGCTGGGGCAGGGAGAAATCTGGTATCTGGTTCCATTAACTGAAAGTTTGTAAACAAAGTGAAAGATTTCTAGAAATGTATGAAAACCAAAACTGAAAGGTCTGATTGCAACATTTACTTCTAAAATAGAAATTGGTTTTCTGTTGAAAAGTTTCCAAAGTGGTCGAAAAGAACTGATTAGATCTTTGATCAAAAAAAATGCTGCAGAAGATTTCTTAATCTTTCAATTCCTTTTACAATATTTTAATCAGCATTTCTAATTTGGTTGATGGAAGCGATTTTGAATACATATCTGTGAATAGATAAAAATGTGTAAGAGAGAAAGTACAATCTGAAAAATCATTTCCTTTATGCATTCAATGCAAGTGATTAGAAAGTCACCTAGTGAGGATCAAAGAATGCATTGATTGTAGGGGGTAAAAAAAAAAAAAAAATGTATATGCACTCAATTTAGATTTTAAAAAAATTAAAAAATTTTTTTTTTAGAGTTTATCAAGATTTATGTTGTTATCAAACTAAAAAAATACTCAGCATAAAAAAAATGCCACACGTAACTTAAAGTTGTTTCCCAAACATTTTATTTGAACAAAGGTCATAAGAATTTTTAATAAAATTTAATAGACATTTCCATAAACAAAATATCCATTTTGTCTTTTTCTTTATTCACATTAAAAAAAAAAGGGGGGGGTGGAGAAAATAAAATTCAAATACCTATATAAACTAACACAAATTGATAATTGTAACTATTTGCATCTTGTCATGAAAACATTTCAGATAACAATGTATAAATAAAGAACTGAAGTTAGAAAAAAAATGGCAGAGATAGTGAAGGCCTTGGAAGAAAAGTCCATCATCTTGCCTCCACTCTTGATGACAAGTAAAAAATATAAGCATATTGTGTAGAGAAAGGACAGGAGTTGATGAGTTTCAAAAAGGGATCAATCTGATTTCCAATTATTTTCATATATTGATCACACGACTGAGTTTTTGAACTCTATTCAAGAGAATATCGCCATGTTTGATGGTTGCCTGAAACAAAAGAAACAGACATTAACTAAAGGGAGCAAAGAAATGAATTACATGTCAAAATGCATTGTTATTGAAAGATTGATAGCAGAAAGTTTTAAACCTGCCTCCAAAAATTACATCTTATTAAAGTTGCTTTCCAAAAATAGTGGATAAGACAAGAATAAAAAGATGGTCAATTGCACGTATAAAGAAAGTTCATATATTTAAATATTACTCAATCTCCTTACATTGTTTGGACTGTTGTTCTCAAATCTATTGCCATATTCACGACATTTCAGCCATTGTACACTCTAGACTTCTTCAGGTAATTTTTGTTGTAATTTTGAACTGAACCCTTTCTTTAGTTCACAGGAGTGGGTAGATTGTTCTAATTCCATGTGTTATGCCTTTGAATATCTCAGTTTTAATTAATTCCTCTTAGTAACTCAACTCTAAGTTTTTGTTTCCTCTGCTGTAACCAGGTATTTAATTCACAACTCTTTTAGGTCGTCACTTTTGGATTAATCAACCAACACTTTTATCTACTGGGCTAGGTGTCCTTACTCAATCTCTGTTAATGGATTTCTACAAGTATCGTATATAGAAATTGATTTCTGAATAATAACTGAAAAAATATAAGATTTTAAACCTAAGCTGAAAAAGTAAATATCAAAAAATAAAAATAACTACGATGAACTGACATCTTGGACAATTTTGAAGAGTGCAGTTTTGACATATATGGCCAAAAAATATTTTTTATTCAAAAAAAGATTTAAAGCTCTTAATCTCTGGGTTGAGGCATTAGCATTATTTACATGCAGACTATTGTCCTCATCTTTGTTGTTGTTGTTATCACAATGTTTCAATTGTTATGCCCTCTGGCCTTCATTCATTCTTGTTAAAAAAAAAAGCTTTGTAAAGTGACATGAAGACACAAATCCTAGAAAGGTTTTAAATATATAAAGCTTTAAAAAAAAAAAAAAATTTTTAAAAATGCAAAAATAATAGCTATTCATTTGTACAAGATGCAAGTATTTCATATAAACTTTTCATATTCTGAGAGATTTTTGACAAATTCTTATTTTCTATTTGACCAAAATTATTGATATCTATTGTTAAAGAGAAAAAAAAAAAAATGAACAAAAACAAAATGTATACAAAATTAGAAAACACTTTTTTTTCAGTTTAAATAAACCCAAAGTTTTTAAGAAATATAATCAATATTCAAAATAATTACCAAAGTAAAGATTGTGCAGCTCTTCCTAAACAATTTTTCAAAAAAAAAAAAAAAAAAAAAAAAAAAAAAAAAATCTATCAATACATATTAGTTAAAAGTTATTTTTAAAAATGTTTTTATTTTCTTTGTGGAGGACAAGCCCAGCCACATTTATGAGAGGCTGAATGGAACTCAAACCCAATTGTATTTCAATAAATTCAAAGTTGGTTATATATTGTGATCAAAGGCAATCAGTTTACAACAATAATGAAAAGCTAATACTAGAAGAATAGAAGTCAGAAGAGAAAAAAATAACTTCCTAAGTTTTTGTTCAGAATTCTTACCTGATATTGCCAATTCTTACTGTCTGGTCGATTTGTCTCTACAATGCCACCAACCTTGTCAATCTTGCAATGTAAGCGTCCAGCAGCAATAAATCTAGATAATTCCCTAAAATACAAGAGAAAAAAAAAGATATTCATAAAAAGGCATAAAAATAAAAACTATCAAATATGAAAAATCCCTTTTGCAGCATTGTTTTTTTATTTTTGTTATTTTTAATCAAATGACACTTCTAAATGAGAAATAAAAAGTTATCTTTCAAAGAAATAGCCTCCCTATAGACATAAATATGAAATAATGATTTTAAAAGGACATATGGGTAGAGGAAAGAAATTAAAAACTTGTATAAAAAGTTCATTTTATCATCATATACTTTGTGACATAGAAAGATCAAAGAAAATTCTCATATTCAAATTGTGCACAAAATACAATAAAACTAAATATAATTTTGTTTAAAATGTTGTTTACATGTTATTATCATGAAAAGACTTTATAAGAGTTAAGAAATTCAGCTAATTACTGGATTTTAATAAAACTTTTTATTTAAATGATGAAAATTATCTATAAAAAATTTTACATCCTATTTTTTTCTTTCAGATGAATACACCCTCACCAATTAAGTTAATGATTTCCCTACCTTCCACTCAACGTTTGTAAAGAAATGATAGAATTTAAATGTAAGTATAATTGAGATAGAGTTTCTTTTAGAATCTCAGAGTTTAAAACTGAAATTAATAAAAAAATAAAAAAGATCATACTTTTGATTGAAATAGTTGATTTTGTACTGCAATTTTATTTTCTAAATAATATATATATATAAAAAGGAGAGAGAGAGAGAGAGAGAGACAGACATCTAGAAATCATTAATGATAGATAAATAACAGAATAATTGATTGAAAGTACTTACTGATCTACAAATTCTACAGTAACTCCAAAAGCATCAGCCATATAAGCTAGAGTAAGACTTCGGTAAGACTCAAGTAGTTGGGAGTAAGCAACAATTCTCATCTCACGAATGTAGTAGCGATAATGGGGAGATAACAAGCGATCATATTTCATTGTGTCTTCAACCCAAGCTAGAAAAGAAAGAAAAATACAAAGACAATTACAAAATAAACAAATTGAAAATTAATTAGAAAGATTTTAGCTCATGCTACTATTTTAGACTTAATAACAGAACAATTTTTTAAGTTTGGAAAACATTTTGTCAATTATTATAGATTTTGTATATTCTTACAAAAAAAAAAAAAAATGTTAAGTGACATTTTCCCAACCAATCCGCTTTAAAAGAGTTGTAAACAAATTGAAACTTATTTTATTTTATTTTTAATCTAAAAAGTATTTGCTAAAATATAAGGTGCAATTAATAGAGTGTATTGCAGTTGTGTTATGTGGGCTGGAGATGCCCAACCCTCACTTTCCAGCCTTGCTGGAGTTCAAAAGATTCTACACATTCTTGTCGGTGATGAATTATTTTCATCCATACAGCCTCTTTCCAACATTAAAAACTTCTCACTTCTCTACTGCTATTTCTATAGGAAATGTTATAATGAGTTAAGTTCCCTAGCTCCACCAGTTCAGACCTTTACTAGGACTGGCCATATACACAGGGTTGAATCATCCTCATTCCCTCTTAAAAAGAAAGTTCCAATCAGACAGCTTCTTCCAAAGAACTGTTACTTTGTGGAACAGACTCCCGACAGGATGCTTCCTTAATCATTACAATCTTAACTTCTTCAAGTCTAGGGTCAACTGTTATCTTACATATCCTAATGTTGATACACAAAAATACATTTTTTTTTATCTCTGGAGGTCAATTATAAACTCTTCTTAGATTTGAAAATCTGATTAGTTTTATTTTCAATGCTTTCAAAATATTTGCTCTTAAATAAATGCACTATGAGCAAATACTTTTTAATGAATAAATTACTTTCAGTTCTGAAATGAAAGGTTTTATTTTCAATTTAATTGATACAAACATTAAACAAAAGCTTTTCAATAACCGTTGAGCAAACTTGAGGAATGAACTCACTATCAATGTCTTGCAAGATATGTCAGTAGCTTGAAAACTGCAGAAGAATCTACAAAATTCAGAAATTGCATTTAGGTTGGGATTTTGTTTTCATAAAAGTTTTAACATTCAAAGGTTTTATTTCTTCTGCAACTTCATGCTACAAAACCATTTCAAATACATATAGAGTAATCATAAAGCAAAATGAAATTTGTTTCCACATCTTTACTAAATGATGTTTTGAAGCAGTAAATTTGTTTATCTCTACTTTTGGGACAATTGTTTTTCTGGAAGATATCCCACCTAAATATAGTAGTAAGATTTTTAAAAAAGAAAAAATATTAATTAGATAAAAAAAAAAAAAAAGATTGTTATTAAGAGCAGAGAGAAAGAATTCAAATGTGGTTTTACCAAGAACTTTGAAGAATGTGGCATAATGGCAGTCATAGAGAGAGAAGAGAAATTCTCGCACTCGGGGTAAGCTGTGCAGGACTTCCAGAATTTCTGAACCTTTGATGACCTGGGAAAAAAAAAAAATCATCACAAGAATTATTATTGGTTTCTAGATTTTGTAATCAAATCACATGTGGAAAATTCAGAAACTCAACTTTTATCAGATAAAGTTTTCTATAAATGCTAATTGGGCATAAGTTTAAAAAGGTAAAAAATTAAGTATTTTTCATTTTAAATGAGGCATTAATTTGTTAAATTGATCTCTAATTTTATGATTTTACACAAGTGAAAATGGTCAGATTGTTTGAACACTATCTTGAGATTTTGTGGCCCAAATGTTAACTAATCACTCATGCTTTGTTTTTAATAGAAATAGTAATCAACTCATAAAACATTGAAAAAGTCTCTAAAAGCTGTAAGTGTTGGATTCATTTATTTAGACAAAATACCAATAAAGGCAGGTTAAGAAAAATTTAATGAAAAACAAAAAAAAAAAAAAAAAAGAAAGAAAAATGCCTAAATCATATCAATTGCTAACAATTGGCATCATCACAAATTTAACACCTGTGGAATTCTTTTGGCTTCAGTTACAACTTTGTGTCTTCCCTTAAAATGTGCAAATTTTATTAAACTTTCTTTTACATATCAATGTCATCTATAACTCAATCTTTTTCATTTCTTTATTGTACTTTGGTGATGGGAGATATCTATACAACTTATTTAATATTTATGTGTGCATACATACACATATGGTAATATTAACCATTTCCTTCTAAGATAACATTCAGCCTTCTCGACTGGGCAGCCAGTGATACTGTTGGTTAAACTATTTGAAATCTTTCTCTTAAAACAATTATACAGGAAAATAGGTTTCTTGCATTCAGTAGCTGTTATCGTTCTTTCCTATATTGATAGGGGCTTCCTTCCTGACTTTTTGTTTCAAAGTAATGTAAAACGTCAACATCTTCATTATGCCATTATTTTTTTATGCTATTTATTTTAGTTGTTGCGACTGTTGAAGGTCCTCAAGAGATGTGGTTTCTGTTATTCGGCCCTTTGTAATTCTGCAGCACCACTCCACAAGGTTTGAAGAAGAACGATCATCACTAAGAACTAAAGACTTTATTCACTTAAGGCCACCTTTAACCATTGATCTGAGAAGATGAGGTTCATACGGTTGACAGTTTAGATGTTTCTGAATGAGTTTGGCACCATGTATGACATTCATATAAAAGTCTTGATTTGAAAAGTCTATTTAATAATTGACTCAAGTTTTGGGTCACTGTTTTGGTTTTGTAGCAACCTGCAGTGTTATGCAAAACTACTCCTAGCACAGCTTTATTCTATATTCAATTTCCTGTCTATATTTTTGAGATGAGATTATGTACATTATTCAGACTATTATCCTCATCTTTCTCCACTTCCCCTTGTGTTACAGCTTTCTGGTGTTCTTCACCACCAGAAAGCTGTAACACAAGGGGAGGTGGAAAAATCAGGCGTGGCTGATCACATATGGAGAGAGAAGGTAGATCACCACCCTCTGTCGGATCAGGCTGAGATCATAGACAAAGAACACCATTGGAAAATTCATAAACTTAAGGAATCAGCACATATGCTAGACCACAAAAATCTCCTGAGCTGACCAAGCATAGAAATGAATACAATATGGGAACCAGTAATAAGGAGTGCCAGAGAAAAGCGATAACAACAAAAATTGCAATATGAGCACTGGTAAAAAAGGTTGCTGAAGACATTAGGTTTATAATACCTAGAAATTCATACACATGGCACAGTGGATAAAGGTGTTAATTAGATCCAGTGACAGGACCCAAAGAGTGTGAGTTCAATACCCGGTTAAGGCAGTGGAGAACTTTCAGAGAGAAATTAACAGGAGATAACTGATAACTGACATCCATAAAACATGGCATGTGGAACTAGAACAGTCTACCCCAGTGAGTGAAATAAAGGGTTCAGTTCAACATTCCAACCACCTGAAGAAGGCCGGAGCGTACAATAGCCGAAACAGTGTAATAAATATGCCGACAAAGATGAGGACAATAGTCCAAATAATATAAATAATGTTCAATTTCCTATATACTAAATAGCCATATCTCGAGGTATTTGAAGAGTTTAGTATCTTACTAATTCCAAATCCTTTTTATGAACAATTCTTGAGTACATGCCATACTAATGTATATCAATAAAGATTTCTATATTTTATGAAAACTCAATCATACTTATTTGTTAATCAAATACCAACCCCGTGTAATTATGCATTTTAGTTATTCAAATTCTTTGATACAATGGCTAGTGTTAACAGCATAAAATGCAAATATTTTAGTAGTATAAAAACTTACTTTTTCCCGAAGTTCAGGTCGTCCAAGAGCAATGATACAACAAAAGACAGTATATGTTACAAAGGTAGGATAATCCATGAGTTCATAGGAAGTAAATGTGGCAACAGTATCCAGGAAAAGAGAAGCCGCCTTCTTAAAGTCACGTATTGACATACAGTAGACACCTCGATAGACTTTCAAACGGTTCTGTCGGTCCCAGTCTCCACCTTCATCTATTAACCTGAAAATAAATTAGAAGAAAAAAAAAAGAAATTAAATCATTTAACAAATAGAATTATTTAAAACATTTTACATTATAGAAATACCAAGTTTTATAACAAAATAATTATTATAATTACTCCTTTTTACATGCAAGTCCAAAAATTAAAGCCACATTCTATACAGTAAGCATCTGAAATTTAATGAATTAAGCACAGTTCTTTTGTATATTTTCTACAAGTCGTGAGCTATATGGAAAATTGATCAAAGTCCACCACAGCTTCCTGTTTTTTCTTGCTCCCAGCAATTCTTGCTCGATTACAACCACTATTTCTTGCTTCTTTTTTCTCCACCCATTTGCTCAAACTTCTCAGAGAGGTTAATCACTGCTTTCTTCTTATCTTCTTGTTGACGACTTACCCTGTGAATGTTAAATTCCCAAGCCATATGTCCCCCCAAAATTTTTAGCTATCTCTTGTCATCAAGTCTCATTGTAGTTCACATTCTCCTGAGAACTTCCTCATTTCTCACATAATCTATTAATGGTATTCTCAACAATCATTGATAGAAGCACAGCTAAGGATATTATCCATATAAGTCTACCTATAATTAACTATGAAATTAATGTGGTTCTGTTTTATAGAATAAACTACTTCACTAGTAGAAAACGAGGAACTGTGGTTAGATAAAGGATGTCACTTACGTTTGTGCTTTCTCCAAGTATCTGGTAATAAGTTCATGATCCATATAAAAAAGACCAATTCTGATCAAATGGAACACTAAATCCAAACGGTAACCAAGAGTGACAGTTTTATCACTAGTCTTCTGGAACTGAGTCAAAGCTCCCTCCTGAAAAAAAAAGAAAAATTAAGCACTGCATGTAAATTACAGACCCCCTTCAGACATCATGCTCGAAAGAGAAGTTTAAGCTTTGCTATGAACTAAAGTTTTCATTTTCCTCATAATTATATTTTTTCTTTGAGGCAGCATTTAGTCTTTAAAGAAATTCTATATTTAGATGAATAAAGTTTTTCTTAAGTTCGTTGATCATAAAATTCAGCTCTAAGGCATGTGAATTTCCAAAACAATTAATAATTACATTTTGCTCTCCCATATGAAATCAATAAAAAATTACTAGTAGCTGTAGTTAAAATATGAATGAGTAAAGATTGTGCTATGAAATGAAGGTTTGAAATTCACTGAGGTTCTGAGAACTGATGTAAACAAAGCATAGTATAAGAATTGAGGATATTCTGAAAGAGCTTGAATCCTGCTTGAGGCTATTTTTCTTCCTTTTGTAGAGAACCACGTCCCTCCAGGATGTAAACGATCCAAATATTCCTTTTATTTATTATCTGTGAATTACCATGAGTTCTTGGCAAAGGGAGGTTTCCCGTTGCAATCTCCAACGTTTCTTAATTCAGAGTTGTCCATCTCCTAAATTGACTGCCACCCAGCATACCCTATTTAACTCTTAGCTGAGGGTAGAAGAGACTGATTTTCCCCAAGATTATTTGTGCAAAATTGAATGCAATAGACTGGGCAAGAATCTGAACCCTGTTTTCCAATTCCACTTTCTGCACTGATAATCTTTACGCTACCCACACAACCTATTAGCTTTCTGAAAAGAATATGTAGAGAAACAACGTTCAGAAATAGTCTAGGATAAAAAGTGAATATTTAAGAAGATTAATATTATTCAGACTTCTAATATAAAAATAGCATTAACCCCCTCCCCCAGATAACTTCAAACTGAATCTAAGAGTTTTTAATCATTATCCAAAATTAAATTGTGTAATTCTTCCAGGCATTAACAAGACAAGTTATTTCTAATATATATTTTTTTACTAAAACATTAACATCGCCAGAATAATCTGAAAAGTAAAGTTTTTTCAATAGTAGACAAGTGATATTCAATCAGGATTAGCAGTTTAGATAAAAATGATTGAATGAGGATAAAACATTAAATATTAATCAAGATAATATGAGATAAGTTCATAATATAAAGTGCATGTAAAAATGTATTTAAAATTGCAAGATCTTTCAGAAAATTCTAATAATATTGGATTTTAATTTAATTTTTAAAATTGAACTCACCTTGTCTCCAATCCGACACAAATATTCTGCTTTTTCCAACATGAAATCTCTGACTTCTGTTTCTCCCAGATTTTTCTCAGCATCTTCAATCTTTTCTTCAATCTTTTTAAGATCTCTTGAATTGATCTCTTTCATTTTTTTCAAAAGGTCAGCATCAAGAGGAAACTTAAGCTGACCCACACACACATCTTCATAAAAGGGAGCCATACCTAGGGAAGAAAGAGAATAATTCTACACTGATATTTGAATTTGTTTAACATCAGGTTTCAATTTTTTGAATGATTTCTAACATGAAAGTGCAGAAAAGTTCTAGACCTGGTCCTCTTCACAAAAATCAATATTTTAATGGCCAAATAACAGAATACTGATTTTGAGAAGTGGATCAGTTGAGAACTTTTCAGTCACAGCTATAAGACATTTTACAAGCATCAATTGGGGATATTTATCTCAATCCTTAAGAATCGGTTCCAATGAAATGTGTAATGAAAGTGAACTTTAAAAGTTATCCCATCTTAGACATGCTTTTCTAAAAGTATGACTAAAATTAATGAAAATCTACTATAAATATTTAACAGATCCAGACATCTAGCATAGAGATGAAATTTAAAATTTTATTATTGCATTATTCCAAAATTTTAACACATCAGCAGATAGCTATCAATGTTAACAATTGAGCACAAATAATTATTAATTTAAAAAATTAGTAATTAATGTATATTATCCATAACTACATGTACAAGAATGTCGTTTTTGATAAAAGTTAAAAACTAACCATAAATACATAAAAAATGTATATATTGTCAAAAATTCCTTTTCCCTCAATATAGCTATTTGTGCTATATTATAATGCTTATCACCTAAACAATAATAATACTGAATAAATTTTAAATTAAACATTAAAGTATCACATCTCCCTAATAGCTGTTACGATCTGTTAAAATAAAATCTAGCAACAACTTATTTACATATCCCTAAAGTTCAAAATATGCTTGGGTTAGAGAGAACAAATTGATGATAAAAATGAAATTAAAACTAAGAATGAAATGACTTAAAACATTATAATTATAGAACACTCTGCAAGTTTTACTTTGGTTGTTGTTAATCCATTGCATTAAACACTAATAAACAAAATTACAACATTTATTGTAGAAATTTTAGTGACTGCACAAATTTTTGGTAGATCTATTTTAGCATTTGAAACGTTTTGGGCATAACAGATACAGAATTACCTCCCTCAGATTTCTTTACCTCTGACTCATATTCTATGTTTTTTTTTATTTTTCAGAAATAAATTAAAAATGAAATTTAAGACTGATGCAGAAATTGGAAATTTAAAAACAAGTCATGTCGTGGAGTTTTTGGAAATCAAAAATTTTTTATTTTCTTCTTTTAGGATTATTAAATAATAGTTATAGAGATTACTGCATTTCGGATGCTAGTTTTCACTTTATTTCTGAAAAACATTTCCTATCCAAAGAAAAGATGTAGGCTCAATTTTTTTTTCTTTTTTTACTATTATTCCCACAATACAAAGCCTAAAAGTCACTCAAGTTACTGAAGGAGGTTGAATAAAAGTAAATGGAGGAAGTATGAGGTTATGTAGGATAACTAATGGTTGACTCTCTAGACTTGAAGAAGTTAAGATTGCAACAATCAAAGAATCTTCTTAGAAATCTGTTCTACAATGTAGCACTTCTGAAGAAAAAGATGTCTGAATGAAATACAAAGGGATAATAATTCATTGCAGTGTATGATGGGTTTTAGCTGTAAACTTCTGAACTGGTGGAATTAAATAATGTAAAAATAATAAAATATTTCAGAAATAACAAATAATTGTTTTAAAAATTAATTTTTCATTGAAATATCTTTTTGCTTTCAGACAATATTGTCCATGTTTATTAACATAAAAGCTTTTGAAATTAAATAATATTTTTGTCTTACTGAGTTTTACTTTTGTATGTTACAATTCAGAGATAATTTTCAGGTAGAGGTGGTCCAAAAAAAAAAAAAAAAGATTTGGTTTCTTCAAAGCCTTGTGCTTTTTTTTAACTAATATAATCACTAATCTGCCCAAAATTTAAATTATAGAGAGTTTTCATACAATTAGTTAGGAGGGGGGGATACATATGAAAAAAAATTTTTTTGCCATGACTTTTAAAAAAATTAAACATATTTGTGAATAGTTTCTGAAAGTTTCATTAAAATCCGACAATTATTTTTGCAAAATTTTCCTAATTAATGTTTAAAAAAAAAAAAAAAAAAAAAAAGGAAAACGTGCTAAAAATTTGTTATTTTACTAGTTCCGGTGATACAAAGAGAAACAGGTTTTTTTTTGGTTTTTTTTAATGAAAATTTAGAATGTTCTAAAATGAAGGAAAAATTTTTAAAAATAATAAAAAAAATCTTTGGTCTTTCCTCTTCATAACAAACATTTTTAGATGATAAAATTTTTTTTTCGTCAAGTTTGTCGTCTTTTTCATCATGCTCTGCTCTTTTTTTTAGCGATCTCATGAAGGATCAAAATAACTTGTCATGAAAATTGTGCTATGCTTGCAATGTTTCATCTGTGAGAAAGAGTTTGTAGAGTAGAAAATAAATACGTCACCCACAAGGCCGAGTAGTTTGAAAAGACCGGAAAGTAAGCATTGGGCAGCACCAGCCCAGATATACCGGGTTTGTGTGTACTAACAATGCGACCCTCCGCCTTATTGAGATGTTATATGGTTAGGTCCGAAGAGAGATCAGCTGTCAAGCTTTGGTCATCGAGATTTTTGGTAGGTGCACCTATACACTGTTAGCGTTGTAATGTAGTTTTGACTTTTGATTTACAAATGCATATTGTTCATAGATATTTTTATGTGGGAAAATATGTGCGCTTAGTCTTGAGGCTAAGTAAATAAATCTTTCGGACCCTAAAATTAGAAGATACCCAATTTCTATTTACCTTCATCTAACTTTTAAAAAAATGTTATATAAACAATGTTTATCCTACCGAAATCCAATATTCATTCATTCAAGACAATAATAAATTTAAATTTAAATTTGAAATCATTACAACCAGACAGAGAGACAGACAATAGGATTCTGGATAATATGATTTCTGCTGATAATGTCATGCAGAAATCATTGCCTAATTCTTTATTGACTAAAAGATTTACAATTATTAACTGGTTATTTATCTTTCCTTGGATAAAGATCCAAGAGACGTCAAAAAACGAGTCGAAATTAACGGGTCTTCTTGTGGAGCTGGGGGTATTCATTTTCGGAAACGTAGCATTTTAAACATACTGAATTTAAAAAGAGATTAAAATCGGCCGCCTAGATTTACAGATTACAACTTATATGTAAAACAAAAATAATAAATAGTGTCCAGATCCTGAAGAAATTAAAAGAAAGATAAATCATTATTCTTTTAACATTTATTTATTTTTCATTTGACAAATAACATTGGTGATTTCCCTTTTTATGAAAATGTGATTTTTTTTTTTTTTTTTTTTTTTTTTTTTAATAGCGAAAGAGTGTCTTAATTACTGGATGGCGATACCGGTAATATTTCATCAGTGCAAACTAAAAGTTTATATAAATCAGCAGAATATTCGTTTAAACAAAACAAACGATTTACAGGAAATGAACATTAAACAATTTCGCCATCGTTAAGGTTAAGGCTTGCTTTATAAAATTAGAATACATCTCATCAAAACAAATAACATACAGAAGAAAGTTATATAGAGACAGCAGTTACATATAAATAATATTAAACAACCTTAAGGAGAGAAAAAAGATCTCTAGTACTTATTCATTGTTAACAATGACGATGCAAGTTTCAGGTGTTTAGACAAATAAAAGATTGAATTTACTCACTATCTTCTTGGACTTTTTCCATAATTTTCTTCCTAATATCTGCATCATTCTTGTATTTATCAGTCATAAGCAAAAATTTCCATTGGGCAAGCTGAAGATCAGGATTTTTAGCCAAACCTTCTTCTTCTCGGTTTTCTTGCGGCATGTTGGCGACTTCGTAAAAAATTTTTTCTTACTTCCGGGGCCGCCGGAAGTGCCACGGAGTAAATGAGTATAAAGCGGAACTTTTTTTTTGCTTAACTATTTCTATTAATTTTTAGAAAAATGTAAATTAATTTTGTAAAAATTATGAAAGATAATTTTTAAATTCCAAAGAATTTATTATTTTGTGCAAAATAATTTGATTAAAACTACTAAAAGCATATTTGTTCACTGCTATCCGAGAGTTACTGACGTTTGTCACTGCTGAAAGCAGTATAATGTACGAATGGCCTTTAATGAAAGAAAATTATATTGAAATTTTACTCTACTTTTATCCCCTTCAGAACATTTCACCCAATTTATGTTCACAAATTCGTTAAAATTTATCAAAAAATCTATAAAATAGGGAATATTTTTTTATTAAGAAAGGAATTAATATTTATTGATTTCAAACGTGCATTTAAGACTGATTTTCCATATAAAATGATTATTTCTATCATATCTGAGTTTTTAGGGTGAGGAGTTATCATTCTTACATTATTTATATTTGGAGTAACACCATATAGAAGTCATAGGGAAGATGTCCGATGATCATAACATCTCAGCAGTAGTGCTTGAGAAGAAAAAATTTAAAAATCTATATAAATTAAGATTTGGTTAAATAAACAAATTAAGCCCATTCAAATTATAGTGGACACATTATTCTATTAATCAGTTTCAGACAAAAAAAATATAAATATCTTTTTATTGAAACTTACAATGCCATGTCTCCTGAATGGATAGTGGTATAAAAAATGAACAGTTGATTTACCCATGTCAAGAAGATTAATGGAGGATGATAATGATGAGGAGATACACTAGTAATTTTAATAAAACAAGGAATTTATGAAAATACTTCAGAAAGCTCTGGGTTAGAAAGTTATAGGATATAAAATAGTACGTGGGTAAAACTTTCTGAAGAAGAAGAAAAAGTTTTGGCTGTAGTTCTTTTCTTGGAACAAGATTCATCATTGAGAAGAAAAGTTAACTAAGCTGTTTAGCAGCCACAACTGTTACTCAAGAAAAAATATTTGGAAATTCTTGCAAAAATCAAATAATTGTTAGATTTTAATGAAACTTTTGGCTTTGGGACTTATTCACTAATGAATACAATTATTTTTTTAGAAAATCTTGATAAAAACATTTTATTTTACATCTGTTACCTCTACTTACTTAATTTTATGAAATTTCAAGAAATTATAATTTCAGCCTCTTCATATTTATATTAGTTAAAAGCAGGACTCCTTGGAAAATTTAAATCATCAATCTGTTTTTGTCAAACAGCAATGTCATTTACCATAAAATAAACAATGCAATAAAACTATAACATTATTTAATTAGAAAAACTTTTATAAATAAGATAATAAAGATTATAAATTAAGGAAAATATTGTCCTAAAAAAACATTTTCTCAATGAATAATGAATTTTTACAAGAATTGTTTTAATTTTTTTTTAAATTTTAATTAGAAAAATTTATTGAGTTTTAAATCTTTTAAAATTCTGTATTAATTTCAAACTTTTAGATGATAATAAAGAACTAATGTATATTAATAACATCATTTTGGAATGAGTCACCAAACAATGCAGGTTAATAATATTATGTCATATTAGGTTGAACCAGATAATGGTAGAGATATGGAAGAAAGGTTTATTCATTCATTTACATTTCCCCCATTATGGGCATCATTATATCCATGATATAATAACACAGTATTTCACGTATGGAACAGAATGGCTGAAAGGAAAAGGAATGACAAACATGCTTACTTCTCAGAGAGAGTTTTATGCCACTGTCATATAAAAAATGATATATACATATTTACATGTGCCCCAAACAGGGAAAATATAATGTATCTATGCAACAAGCAATGTGAAAAAAGAATAGGGTCTTATATATATAATATGGAGATACTTCTGTGCTTCTGGAGATTCTTCTGTGTTTCTGGAGAAGTCATATTTAAAATTACAGATTGAGTGGGCCAGATTTATCATTTATGTCACTAGTGAGGATATATTCCAGAAACAGGGAAATAGTAAGTCTCGCTGTACTGTCTCCAGATATGCGTCCATTTTAGAAAACGCATGCATGTCTCTAAGAGTAGCTAAATGCCTTTCAGCAATTAAAACACTGAAGCAATGTTAGGGTTCATCTACAGGTTTATTAAAATGGTGCATGTCCAGAGATGGTACAGTAACATGACAATACTCAGAATATCAGATATATTTAGAGGGATTGCATGTTGGATCAGTTATAGCCCTTTCACTAGAAGCAGTCCGAGCCAGAAGTGGTCGGACAGAGATGAGTTAAAAAGTGTTTCTTAAAAACAAGGGGTCACTAAGGGAGATAAATGAAAGGAACTATACTAATGCAGAACAGGACACTCCTCGTTTGGTGTGTTTCAGACGTCATTAATATGTCTCTGGGTCGGATCTAAAGGAAGAAGTAGGACAGTCTCTGTGATGGGTCTGAGAAAGTGCTTAGTATCATCTTTTTTAGAAAGTTTTATTTCCACACTAACTTGTCTTTGTAGGAGAAAACACATGTGACAAGTCTGAGAGGCCATTCGTTCCTTGTTATTTGGTTATCTTTTAGGACCACTACATTTCCAGGTTCTAGGTTGGGTTTGCTTGAAGTTCATTTTAGTGTGTTTCTGAAGTGAGGATATGTATTCCCTCTTCTACTTACCCCAAAAGACTTCGGCCTGGTGTTGGACAAATTTCTGTAGTGTACAAAACAAAATCTAGATTTAAAATTCAAATGCTAAGTACTGACTCATTGATTTTGTTAGAAATTAAAAAGACTCAAATTTACAACATTTGCTTAACACACACGCAAAAATGAATCCAAAACAAAACTCATGAAATTTCAAACCTTGATGTGAAATGTTTTTCAGCCACTAGAAACCTAGGAAATATTTAAAAACAAAATTCAAATAATCTTAAGTTCTCAGAAACAAATTCTTTTATGGACCTTTTCGTGAGCCGACTCGAAGTTTGTTCGTTGCCTAATGGAAAGGCCCAAATCATATCCAGGAATGAATTCCCAAATGACCTTTTCAAGCCCCCAAACAAAATAAAAAACACGCAAGTTCGCCTGTCACCAGAGAGAAGGAGACGAGTCTATTAACAAGTCCCTTGACAAACGTCTAGTGATCATTATTATTATCTCTACCTTTCTCCCTCACCTCTCTTATACTTGATAAAGAAACAGAACATTTTAAGACTGAGTGATTACTTCAAAGACATTCCTACCCTACGATAATACTAATACATACATACATACACACATACGTTCCTGCCTACACACACATAAACTCATTCTTGCAAGGACTACTACGAACATTTTGACAACCTTGTATCAACCAAAATACATTAATTTTATTTGTAGAGATCTTAATTGATTTATATGTATATAAATTTGTTGTTTCACTTTACAATTTGATTTTCTTGTTTTATACCCCTCTTATGGTGAGCTATCTAACTAACAAGGCCAAATCAAACTAATGTGTTTCAACACTCATACACTTCACTATAACTGATAACCCACTATATTTCCATTGGCCTTTCAGGATGATTTTAGTTTCAAATCTGCACTCATGTGTAAAAGACAGACCTAATTTCTGAGTGATGAGTGTGGAAGGTGAGAGTATGTGTTGGGTTGCCCTCTCCTAATTCCTAATTTTTGAAACTGCTACTTGGGGATGCTCTCCAACTTTATAAATACTCCGCGATAAAATTTTATCTTTCTTTTTCTCATTTCTCCACTTGGATGTCAACAATGTAAATTTCTAGCGGAAGAATGTGATGAAAATTACATACACTCACACACACGTATGTACGCACATTCATTTACATATACTTTGGACTACAAACTTTCCACATTCATTCGTACACACACATTATTGTCATTGTCATTTGTAAACCTTTGTATGTTTAATACATATTAATTTATTTGTACATATATATATCGGTTCTTGTTTCTTCACATTTCTTTTGGCAGACTCATATTCTGAGTTTGCCATGTTTGTTGTGGGCATTTCTAAGACACGTGTTTATCTCATAATGTGTACACAGACCCACAACAGTATGCAAGGCTCACTTGGATCTGTTGACACTGAAACAAGAGGTTTGGCATTGATAATGGTGGAAGCTTCTGCTAAGAACATGGCGAGTTGTTTGTGAGTTAGCCTTCTTATCGTTGAGAGTGATCACAAGTCGCTGAAGATGATATCCCTAAAAAATCTGTTGGGACCAAGTCTGTTGGTTAAGAAATAATAAAACAAGAGGTTGCAGATAGTGTATTGAACAGTAAATACAACAGAAGTGTGTTACATGACTTGGGAGTGTGTATCAGTTGACCAGCATTCAGTCTAGCACTGTTATATTTAACAGCCCCCCCCCCTGAAGGATATATGTGGCACAAAGCCAAGTTTAACGTGGGTTATCTGAGCCTGTAGGCTCAGCCAAAAAACCACCATAGAACCTGCATAAATGGGTTCTTATCTGTCTACCTCCCCAGACAAAACTCTGCCCTTCGGCACAGCTTCATCTGGGTTCCTCTTTGCCTTGGGCAGAGAGTTCAACAGGAGCTGCAAACAGTCACAGACTTGGAGGGAACAGTCCATCACTGTTACCTCCGAGGCTTACTTTCCTACTACTTTATAGTAAGTGGAAGAATCCATAATAGACTCATCAGAGAGAAGACACTACAACAAAATCACACTGCAGCACCTCCCCACCTTTAATGAATGCTACTTCTCCTGCAAGAGTGTTATGGTCCGGTTCCTTGTACCACGGTGATAGTCCAAGGTAGAACCAAATAAGAAGAACTCGAACACGGATATGGAATAACACAGATATATTACAAACAGGAATATATACAGAGAAGTAGAAAAAGGTTAGTACGAACCATCAGGTTTAGTAATAATTGTCTGAACACGACTCTGTTTCGGACTGCCTCTGAC